AAACATATAAGAAGTAAGATAATAGTTAATATAGACAGTGGAAAACATGAGTAACATTAAACATTATAATACTTGTGAACATGAATTATTTTTTGCATAAAATATTTTTTAAATATGGATTTTAGACAAAGTGGCATAAAAATAGTGTTAATTTCAGCAGCTTATCACTCAGATGAACCAAGTTGTTATTAATCATAGCCCAGAGTTTGTATTTTTGGACTTTTTCTTTTTTTTCAGTTTTTTATATTACAGATTTCTTAGAGCCTGGACACTTTTATCTTTTTTAAATCATATTATCATGTTGGATATGTGGTATCTATTGTCTGAGTTGTTTGTTGTTACAAATGTTCTGTCTAAGAGAATGCCTTTGTCTTTTACTGCAAACCAAAACTACCTTCAGGTACAAATAAAGTAACCTGAACTAGAATATTGTACTTTTTTAAATCCACTACATTTACCTGTTACTTTCAGATTAAAATGCATTTTACTTCAATGTCCAAAAGAATAATATAATAGTATAACATGTAGTAATTTAACAACTATAGCTAATTTTGGCTGCAGACAGAGCAGACACACTATAATACTTTAACAAAAAATATTTCAAGGATATTTAGTCATTTTAATCAATTTCCAAGTATTTCCATGACTGAAAACAAGTCACTAAATGTTGAACTTTTCTACATGTGGTACTAACATATTGTTGAGTACTTTTATATCCAACAGTGCATCATATTTTATAAGTTAATAGCTGTCCAATCCATGTAGCAAGTAAATGTTGTTGATAATACTGAATCATGGTGTTGCTATTGTTACTTAAATAACAGATCTTAATACATCAGAGCTTTTTCACAGCAGATTATTTGACTTATCATCGTGGGGAAAAACCACAGGTGTTACTAATAATATTAAGTAAAGTGTCCTAGTAAGCCATGGCAGCAGCAGTGGAGTGAAGCAATCATAAACTGTATTATTTGCACCCTATATTTGCACCTGTGCACCTATCTGTGCCAGGCTTTCTTTAATATATCTCTTTAATATAAATGAGTCTACAGCGACACCTGCTGGCAGGGCAGAGTATTGCACTTCAGCCGCTGCACTGACATTAGTACTGTGCACTGTGGAGGGCTGTTGTTTAACCCCTGCTGTCAGTGGGACGAGTGTAAATACAGGTGTGTAAACAAAGCTTTTAACAGGGGTTCCGTACCCGCTATTAGTGATTACAATGCTCTGTAACATAACAGCTGCAATATCGTTTTAAACGGGAGGTTAAATCACGTTGAGTTAGCTGAGGCGGCGCTACAAAGCTGGCTAATTTAACTAGCTGGTAAGCTTCAACTGGCTAAGGAAGTGTGGGACACTACGAGCTAGTTTGCTCGCTAACTAGCAACGTTTAAGGGGTTTTAGAGGCTTTAAACTTTAGGATTTTATTCACAATAAAAGTAGTATAAAGTAAAGAGCCGTATCGTCTTTATCAAGGTTGTAGGTAGCGTTAGCATTGCATTGTTTTGTGTTTAATTTTAGCGACTGGTGTCTGTTAGTGTCTTTTACTGGGCTCATCAATCAGAGCCTGTCATTAAAGATTGTATATGTTTCAGTATTGTGTCAGTATCTTTTATAACTGTAGTTATTTCCCCTTAAAACAGTCCAATGTAACAGCCCCTGCTTTCATTTACAGTCTACAGTCGGTGTGTGGTTTTATTATTGTTCTGTTCAGTGGTGGAAGATATATTTTACATATAGTAAAAGTAGTAATATAACAATTGTTAGTTACTCTGTGAGTTCAAGTTCTAGGATTTCAAATTTTAGTTGAATAAAAGCAGTTAAATATTGAGCAAAAAATACTTAAAGCATCAAAAGTGAAAGTACTCCTCGTCATTATTATATCAGGGTTCACAGCCTTTAACTAATCATTTTCCAGGAGTTTTATACAAATAATACAGGAAACGCTCATAAAAGCTGCGGTTTCTGCAAATGGACTGCATTCATTTGGCCACAGCCCTTTAAGTAACAGTGCAAATCCAAGTAGAATTTATATAATTTTACAGAAAATTCATCAAAGTTAAGTGTTAAAATCACTGTGCGTGTATTTATCAGCCACAGCAACAAGACATTTGATAATATATGCTCGTAGATGTGAGAATTTGGCTCACAGCTCTGGAAGAAATAGACTGAATGCCGGAAAGATCGCTGCAAGTCAGTTCCACTTTCCACCTGGGGGTCATACAGTTTATCCAACCAGCAGTTGGTTTTCAGACAGAATATGCACCCGGGTTTACGTAGGCTGAAATACAAAGATTTCCAGGAAAATATAATTATTTCCGAGATATTTGGTCATTTTAATCAATTTCCAGGTGTTTCAGTGACTGGAAAATTAGTCTCTAAATTGCCCGCTTTTCCAGGATGTGTGGGAACCCTGTGTATTATATTATGTTATATTATATTATATTATTTGTTAATAATGTAGCAGAGTGAAATGTACAGTGTTGTTAATTTCAAGCAAAAAAAATGAGCTTGAAAGCTTCTTAAATGTGAGGATTTACTGCAGATTTGTTGATACTGAATGTTAGCTGCAGAAAATGGCAATACTCAAGTACAAGTAGGTCAAAATTGTACACCACTGGTTTTCTGTAACAACAACAAACACATATTATGTTACCTATGACTCAGTTTTAGGTGAAAGAAAGCTTTTCAATCTGTGCTTGTTACCTCTGTCACGACAGCACTGAATGCTGCAAATCCCACGATGGACTCCAGTGGGAAACCCTCAGCTGCACAGATCGTGGTCTTAGCCAGCAGCTCAGCCCTGACTGCAATCTTCTACTCCATTTACAAGAGCAGAGCTACAACAGTTGCCAGATTAAAGGTTAGCCACATTGCAGCGCACTCTGTCTTTGTCATTTAAATGCCAGTAGTGTTTGATTTACATTTAATCTGTTGATCTGAAATGTTTCCACAGGAAGCCAAGAAAGTCTCCATTGACCAGGATTTGATAAACATCCTGTCTGAAACTCCCGGAAGATGCGTCCCATATGCTGTCATAGAAGGTGTGTTTTTAAAAGCATAGATGACGTTACTGTGTTGTGAGTAAAGTCATCCATGTTGATGTCTTACTTATTGCACACTTTAGGTGTGGTGAGATCTGTGAAGGAAACTCTGAGCAGCCAGTTTGTCGATAACTGCAAAGGCGTGATTGAAAGACTGACTCTGAAAGAGGAAAAGATGGTGTGGAATCGCACCACTCATCTCTGGTAAGTCAACGGGGAAGGTTGAAATACTGTAGTATTCTGAATTAAGTATATTCAGTCAGATGTTGAAGCTTATATGGCAGTTTTGTAATTTAAGTCCAACTGAAACTGAACCATTGCCTACTACAGCATACATATCTGCTCTGTAACTCACATGTCCTGTGATAATTCAGTACAACACAAGAGCCACAGACAACCAGTATTCGCTTTCCTGCTAAACTTTCAATGCACAATGCATTTAAACACATGCTGACATTATTTCTGAATGCAAAAAGGAGACTTACATGTGACATCAGTTGGACTTAATGAAACTAGAGCTGAAACAATTGATGAAAAATGAATCGGCAGCAGAGATTTAATGGTCGTTTAATTATTTGAGTTGTTTTTTCAAATAAAAATGCCAAATATAATCCAATATGAGGACTGTTGGTTGGACAAAACAAGACGTGAAGATGTTATCTAGGGCTTTGGAAAATGTTGATGGGCTTTTTTTTGACATTTCCTGACATTTTAAAGACCAAGCATCTAACAGAACTAAGAAAATAAGCTGCGGATTAATCGATAATGAAAATAATTGTTTGTTTCAGCCCTAAAAAGTAACATTAATGAATTAATGAATGTGATATTTCCGAACAGGAACAACACAGAGAAAGTCATCCACCAGCGTACCAACACAGTTCCCTTTGCCCTCGGGTCTCACGATGACGATATCGCCACCACAGTACGGGTCATACGTCCACTAGACGCTGCAGAGTTGGACCTGGAGACCACCTACGAGAACTTCCACCCCACGGTCCAGTCCTTGTCCAACGTCATCGGCCACTTCATCAGCGGGGAGCGACCCAAGGGCATCCACGAGACTGAAGAGATGCTGCGGCTGGAAGACAGCGTCACAGGTGTAGGTGAGCTCGTCCTGGATAACAACCTGATCAAGATCCAACCTCCCAAGCAGGGCTTCCGTTATTTTCTCACCCGGCTGGACTACGAGTCTCTCCTCAGGAAGCAGGGGAACAGCGTCAGACTGTGGCGGATCCTGACCGTCGTCTTCGGTGTCGCCGCCTGTTCCACGCTCCTCTTCATCCTGTGGAAGCGATACGCGCACCACAGACAGAGTAAGAAGGAGAGGAGCATGCTGGAGGAGTTCAAGGAGCTGCAGAAGAAACGCATGCGCGAACTCAACGTAGATGAAAGCAGCATGTCGCCCACCAGCTGCACGGTCTGCCTGAGCCGGGAGCGCTCCTGTGTGTTTCTAGAGTGTGGTCATGTGTGTGCCTGTGCCCAGTGCTACGATATCCTGCCAGAGCCAAAGAAATGCCCCATCTGCAGGGCAATTATAGACCGGGTGGTGCCTCTTTACAACAGTTAATGTGGAAATGCACACTAACACATTACATAGGAAGACTACAGAGCATTTTACAGTCATGGTAACACTGGAAATCTGTCATTCAAAAGTTGTGCAGGCTTGGAAAAAGGTAATATCGATACTTTTTGTTGCACTTTTTGGTTTTTACTTAGATAGTAGGTATCTGTGCTGAATCACAATGTAATCACATTTCCAATCAAATGTTCAAATCAAATTTGGAAGCTGTAAAAACTAAAAAAAAAAAAAAATC